TATATATAAATTTAAAGAAAAAATGTATAAAATCATATGTGAGACAATCGCAAAGAGTGCATTCTAAGTTACTCATGAAGTGCATAATATCACTTTACCCTTCTTTATTATTCGATGAACAATAAAGATAAGCGATGTATCATCCTTGTTTAATATTTTATGCGTATGGCATAGAAAAATTGTGGACAAAAATTGGCCAATTTTGACTAACATAACTTTGCAAAAAATTATCGTAGGATAACATTATTTTTTTAATTAATGTTTAAAGTCTACTTTAAGACGATATGACCAGATTTTAAGTTTGATGCACTTCTGCTACTGTTAACTCTCAAGATATGAGAGTGTGTTTTTCATATTAAAAATTGCAAAGTTTGACGGAATATACGGACTTTGTAAAATTTAAAAAAAATATATTATTTGCAGCAGAAAAAAGTTCGAACTTTAATTTAAAAAAAAAACCAAGTTGCTGAGATATTTTTTCGCAAAGTTATAGTATTTCAAAGTTATTCTCGTATTTTTTTACACATACTATCGATATTACCTGCATTACCGGATATGTACCACGACGTTGTTGGATGGATTTTGCACATCGTGTTTTTGCATGTAAATTTCAGTAACGCGTATTGCCTCCGCATTGCTCAATTACTGCTTGCATTCGATTTCTCATATTAATGATCTTAATTTCTTCCTGCGGAATGTCATTCCAGATTTGTATAGAGCTTGTGATAAATCTCTGAGATTGATACATACACACACACACACACGCGCGCGCGCGCACGCGCGCACGCGCCACGCACACACACACACACACATATATATAATGATTTTTGTCTCTTGCAGTTTTTCTATAAAGTTGATAATATTTGAGTTAAAAATTATTCAAGACCAATATTTAGCGATTTTTAGTAATTAATATCTCGTTAATTATTGTGAAAATTGCAAAATAGTAGAGAATTTTTCGATTCAATTTAGTCCTGCTCTACCTGCTCAGGATGGATAATGTCGTAATTTAAGCTACCCTATATATATATATATTGCGTGCGTGCATGCATGCATGCGTGTGTGTACAGGATGTAACTGAAATAACGCCCACTAATTATATACTATATATATTATATATATATATTATATATATATATACTACATATATAGTATTACGTTTGCACATATTACGTTTATACATATATGGTAGAGCAAGAATATTAGTTGCTCATAGGGGCAAGTTAGGCAAATGCAAATATCTAAACCAAATGCAAATATCTAACCAAAATGTATACAGATACGTCTATGTGTGAGGTAGCACAAAATAAAGATTACTGCGCTTAATACAATAATCTATGTCCGTAATCTATATCAAACACGTGCGCATTTTTGTTTTCGTACATCAAAGTAAAATTATTAGATGAGTATTCTTTTTGATCTACATAGTAATTAAACCAATTAATAATAATCAAATGAGTCTTTTGGATATAAGTTATTATCGTTTTTTTTTTTAATTTTAATGTTCAATTTATTATTTTTTCAGTTATAAAAAAGTATTTCAGTCACCGATATAGGGCTTGTTGGGCCAGTATCTAACCTTATAAATTCAGCTGCTTAAATGAAATTTGTCTTTCGATGTTTTTTATTCTATGTTAACGATTAAATATATATTTTACGTTTAATTATTATTATAAAGAGTAAAGATTTTTCTAATTTTGTTAATTAAAGCAATTAAAAAGAAAGAATATTACAAATTATTATATTTAAGATGAAAATAATAAAAGTTTGATTAATATACATATGTATAATCCTTTCATGTTTTTAATATTATATATATTATAATAATAATTATAAGTTCATTAAACGATTATCTTCATGGCTGAACTTATTCTTCAAGGATGCTCAACATGCTCCATAGATGGAGCATATTGATCCAATTTGCATCCTTGTAATTAACGTAATTTTTGTCTTATTTACAAGATATATTAAGGATTTATAAATACTTAATTATTGAGCCAAATAAACATGCAATGTTTTAAAACACTTATTATCTATCATAATTATGTGAAGATTTATAATACTTTAAAAACAAAGTGTCACAACTATTTCGCTCTACTCTATATATAAATGAATGCCAGTATAAATCCAAACAAAAAGTACTTTCCTACATTTGAATAAAAAAAATTTTTAATTAATTTCCCTGGGCAAATTTTTGTCTTTACAAGAAAATGCCTCGAAAACTCGGAGGTAATTAAAGAATGTTGACATTATCGACAATTGATATAAATTTGTGATTATTAACATAATAAATATGTGACTAATACATTGTTATATTCATGATTTTTTGTTATATAAATGGTCTATTCGCAAGTATGCATACTTATAATGCTATAATATCTTATATATTGTCACAAAATTACAATTTTTTTCTTCATTTATCATCTCTATTTATTTCAAACTTGGATAATAGATAAACTTGGATAACATGAAAATTATAATTTAAAATAAAAATGAAGTATTTAAGCGAAGAACACAGACTCTTGCATAATACATGAGACATAAAAAAATGAACCAATCGAAATCCTTTATTTCCTTTCTTTCCATGAAATAAAGGACTCTAATTGGTTGATTTTCTTATGCTTCATGTTTTATACGTTATACAAGTCTGTGCGTGCAAGAGTCTCCCCATCTTACAGAGATTTCGCAAAGTGTCACGTGATCGATATATTTCTCTGATTGGCTAGAGTAATTCATAGTAGCTGCCATATTGAATTTACTGTCAATTTACTATCAATATACTCAACACTTGACTCCTGTCGACTGCTGTGGAATGAGATTAGTAAACTCATTTTTCAATGTTTTGTGAATATTTATCTATTATTTCATGCTTTACATTGAATGTTGCATAATTTATGTACAGAATTTACATCCATCATCACCATGCCAACGAATTACGCCACATATGTCTCTCTACTTTTTCTTTTTTCTTTTTTCCCCCCCCCCCCCCCCCAACTCTTTTCTCGTCAGAAAAAGAAAGCTATACGGTACCCTAAAGCTCTATATTAATAAAATAGCGCATTTCTTTTGTCTGAGTCGAAATGCCGACAGCCTTCCTGTTGGTTATTTCGACTGCCATCTTGGACATAGTTATCTGTAGTCCAATAGTTTAGTATTATTGGTACATGGTAAGGTTAGTTGAATCCAATATGGCGGACTAATGCGCTACTTTAGTAAAGGTCTAAGCACAAGAATTACCGTAACACTTAAGTTGTAGACTAAATGCGTAAGTAACGCACAAGTTTTGGCGTATGATGAACAATTTATTGCCGTCTCTTGGAGACACGGCAATAAGTTATACGTCATACGTGAAAGCTTGCGCATTACTTACATCTACAATTTAAGTCTAAGTAAATGACTCTAAGGCTTCGTCTATTCAAGTCAATTGACGCTTGTCGGATGTTGTTAGTCGTAAAAGATGGGACCTGACCAATTCAAACGACGCCCAGCAATTGACATCGACAGTCGACATCGACAGTCGACATCGACATCCGACACAAAAAATGAAGGTTATGCGCATGCACACAACATATGACAACGTTTTCCGATTGATTATAAATCAGACCTGATATAGATATGGTAGAAGAATATAAAGTATTTCGTTGCGCATAATGCCGGAAAAGTATTGGGTCATCTAAAAACCGCGGATACTTTTTAGATGACCCAATATTCTTCTACCATGGATATAGAGCTTTACGGCACCTAGGCCGGTATTCATAATCAGATCTTATATTCAAGACTGTCCTAAGTACGGTCTTAAGAAGTCACGAACTAATCAGAAGGCTGCATTAGCGTCTTAAGACATTACTTAAGATGGTCTTGAAATAAGACTTGACTATGAATACCGGCCCTATTGTCTGTCCTTTTTTACCTAGTCTTCATGTTTCAAACTTCACGCTCGGTCTATTCTTATTATATCTATTTTAAATATATGTATATTTAAAATTTATGAAATATAATAAAAACTTTAAATAAAATGTAGAAATAAATAAAATAATATTATTGCAGATGAATTTCATTTTTTTTTGTAATTGTAAATGGCAGTAAATATTTCATAAAATACAATAATTATTAAATGAAATATGTAATTTACTTCGTAATTACATATACATTAATTCATGAAACTTTTGACTTGTAGATAGAATTATATACATTGCAATTACATAATATTAATTATTATTAAATATACTGGATAACAGAAAACTCGATCTAAAAGTATTTACTCCATAATATAATAAGTGTAAACAATTTAAGGTATATTTACGAAATATTAAATGTAACAACAAAAAACGGAATAGAAATTTAATAAATAAAATAATTAATAACAATTAAACTTACATAATAATTAAGGCAGGAAAAATGGAAAATATAAATTTTACTATATTTTAACTATAAATTACGGAAAGAGATAATTTTAATAAATTAATAAAATAAATAGTAAACAAGCAACCCTATCTAATAGGTAAAGAAAAGGAATTTAATATATAAATAAACTATAATGATAATTAAATCTATCAAATTAGAATTTGCAATTATTTTTAATTGTTTATCAGTTTATTTATTTATAAAAATAATAATAAAATGACAATATAAACTTTAAATATAAATTTTATTGGATATATATTTTGCCTTTTTTCCTGATTTTTGAAAGCTAAACAAAACCAGAACAATTGTTTCTGCACAACTATCCTAGTTCAACCAGACGTATGCAATGGATGCCATATTGCTTGTCAAATGGGTCACGCGCTGATTGGCTCAGAAATTGAACGAGTGCGCAACATTGAGAATGCTACATCTTGCTTTTTACACTATGCTTCTGACTGCAAATTTTCTCCCCAATTTTATATAAAATCTTTGTAAGTGATACATATTATTAATCTTGGAAATATATACCTTCCTCTATTATATGTACATATATACATGAAATAAAACTACGAATTTTTACATTTCAGTTATGTGAACAGGATTGCTCACATTTTGTGCATATTATAAAATGCCTACCACATGCAGTGCTCCAAGATGCACGAATTCTAATAAAGACGGATATTGCTGCACAATGTTTGCCCAAGATCCTAAATTGAAACAAAAATGGATTGATGCTGCCGGAATTCCTGATTGGAAACCTTCAAAATCAGCTGTACTATGTGAGGTTGGTACCGAAGAATGCATACAAATGTTTTATACTATAACTTCTGTAAACAACCAACAAAAATATCAATGTTATAATTTCTCATTCAATATCAATTAAATTCAATATAATACGAGTCTATGTAATGGTTACATAATTGCATAAAAAATTATAATATATTAATGTTACGTTAATGATAGTTGGTGGGATATATACTTTTCTTTAATGTGTATCTCTTATTTTTTAGGTTCATTTTCATTCATCAGAATTATTTCGCGTTGGTAGCAAAAAACTTATAAGGAAAGGTGCCATACCAAGTTTGTTTTGCAAATGTCAACAACCTATGAAAAGGAAATCTCTTGCAGAAATTCAACCAGAACAGCAATATAATGAATCAATTGAATTTCTTCCTCACAAAAAAACAGAATTAAGGAGTGACCATTCATATGTTGCTGTAGAAAATTCTGAGAAACAAGAAAAAAAGAGATGTAATAGAGAACAGTATGTAATTGATGAATTGCAAGAACATAATTATTTTTCTCTTTCAAAAAAAAGAAAATCTATTGAGTCACGTAAGAAGTATGTCCATACTACACATTGTGTTATAATGAAAAAACCTATTAATATAAATACATTGGAGACATATCAATAACCTGAAGAGAAAAATTACAAATCAAATTCTAATCTAGACATACATATATCATCAGAATGTATTGAAAAAAAATATTGACGGAGAGTTTATCTAGTCCAGAAAAATATGAAATACTAAAAGAAAAATTAAAAATAGATGAAAAAGAAAGAGATACCTTAAAAAGTAGAGTTAATGACTTAGGAAAAAATATCGAAAAAAATATACTGAAATAATCAATATAATTTTTAATAAAGATCAACAAAGAGCAATTGTAAATGATATCACAAGAAGTTCCAAGTGGTCAGATGAAACAATCAAAAAAGGATTAAATTTGTGGATCACGCATGGTTATAATCATATAATTAAACCTGTTGCTCCATTTCCTTCATTAAGAACTCTAAGAAAGATACTGCATATTAAATTTGAACCTCGAATATTTGAAGATGTTTTTAAATATCTGGAGTTATAATGGTTCCTTATATTCCATCTACATGGAAAATCATCTGTGGACTAGTATTTGATGAAATGACGATTAAAGAGCAAATCGATTTTGATACAAGTACAGGGGCATATATTAGAAATGTGACAATACAAATAAATACTGGCAATACAAATAAATTAGTATGTAAAGTTTTACTTTTTCAAATGTTTGGGGTTAGTTTTCATATTGGAAGCAGTATGTAGCTTATCACACTTTATTCCATCTTATTTAGTAAATGATGCACTTAAAGAGATTATTTTAGAAATACTCCAAAAATGCTCGTGTAGATTTGGAAGTAATTGTTTTGGTTTGTGATATGAGAAATATAGAGGATTACTCACAAAATTAGAATTTAAAACTACCAACACAGATATGACGTACACATCCTTGCGATCTAGAAATCATGTTGCAGTTGATTCTAGATCCTGTTCATGTTTTTAAAAATTTAAGAGAAATGGCTAAATGGAAAATCAATTTATTTTACTTACTACAAGATGTTGTAGAACTCTAGAATTTATCTAGTAATATTGTCGATATGGATCACATTGAATGTGACTTATATGACCCATAGGTTAGATTCATATCAGTCAAAATTGCATGGAGATAAAATTTGTGCCTGAATTAAACAAAACAATATTAAGACCAAACCATTTTGGTAAAATAAAAGTCACAAATTCAACTAGAGTTATAAATTATTCCACTATATCTGCATTAACATTTCTAATCTAAAAAAGTGATGGACTTCCACAAATGGAAACAGCCTGGTTTATCAGATTGATTAGGGAATGGTTTGACGTAATAATCATGAGAAATCTTCGTTATACTTTAAATTTTCACAACCTTCAAAAATATAATGATATAATAGAACTTCTAAAATTATATCATATTTTCAAAAGTTCAAACGAAAATTGGATGTGGTTCATAAAAACCACCTCAGATCCATGTAATATTTTTCTCTCTAGTAATATTTACCACGGAATCAATGATTCAGCTACAAGATCGTCTTTTCAGCAAGAAAATTTCTTTTCTTTTTTCCAGGACGAGCAAGTCAAGATAGTTTGAAAAGTGATTTTTGAAACGTAGAGTATGTCCCAAGCTAACAGCTCTTCAGTTCAAATACAGACTAAGGCCGTGGTCAAAGTCTCGCTACAAATGCTTTGAAGCATTTGATGGACCAATAAAAAAAAAGAATTTTACAAATTGACTAATATAAAAACGCTTTAAAGCATTTATAGCATCATGATATAGCACTGATCATACCCTAAGACATATATAGCAGGAAATCGCGCAATACCTACCTCTAGTTATACATATGAACCTTCTCTTTTGAATGCATTTCTAACTAAATTAAAAGAACAAACTGTAGAAACACATTACGATTTCTCTAAATTAAATGATTGCGAGCCTATGTCAAAGACTATACAACAAATATTTTATAGAATGTGTAGATATATTGTTTTCAAATTGAGGAATTTCATCAAATGTGAAGATTTTTTATTATCTAAATTGCAAGATAATTCCAAGATAATTCTAATTTGACGTTTACACTATCCTTTTTATCTGCCTTTATAGTTATTTCAAATTATACTCCTGGAGCTCAAATAAGAATTAATAAAGAAATGTTTGATATTCTTGAAGAGAGAGAAAGAATTGTGGAAAAATCAAATCCAAATTATTTCTCTTAGACAAATCCCTGAATGACAGTTTAATATCTTATCTTCATACTGCTTTGAAATATCTCTCTTTAAGCATTTGTCATTATATTAGAGATAAATTAATATCTCGATTTATGTCAATGCGTGTAAAACAATTATTGGTAACTGTGAGTGCTATAAAAAATATGAACAAGAATATATCATCAACTTTTGGAAGTAAAATGATGGAAACAAAAATACTAGCTGATAGGTTCAAACAAAAAAATTATGCACGAAAGTACTGAATTGAAGATAAAGTTATTTTTTAGATTAAAGCAAAACTTATTTTGTAGGTATTATAGTTATTTTATAATATCATTTTTATCTATATGTTAAACTTATGTTATTACTGATAGTCATTTTATGTGATTGAATTATCATTTTTCTTTTCTTATTATAGTATGATAAATGTTATCTAATACGTACATTTTTAAAATTTACGTTGAATAAATATCTTACTTTTCTTAATTAATGACTTATATTTATATTTTTCATGACTTTTATAATTAATCTGTTATTTTAATGAGAAATAATGAGTGTCTATGAAAGGGCAATGAGCTTAGCACGCGATGACAGTGCAACTAAATTTTTAATTTTATAATACAATATAAAATACTCCAAACATTTCGGCTCTCACAGAAATCATTCTCAGTGAACAAAAAACTTACACTAAAATAATTTTAGACTTCATTAATTGATACGCTGTTTATCTTCAAACTTTTCTTCAGATAAATGTTACTAACATCTTATACTATCGGTTACAAGATCTGCGAAATGAAAAGTCTAAAAAGAAATAAAAATCGGAATAACAGTTTCCTAGGTAGTTTTTCACATTAAATCTAAATTAGAATTGTCCCATTACTTCAGGATTTCAAGATTTCTGATCTAAAGTTGCAAAAAATGCTTTTTTTAAGCTATATTCGAGTTTCTGCAATATTTAGAATATATCTAGCTTTCAACATTAACACTAATTTTACAATATATGGCAGTCAAAAAAATAGAGATATATTGGGTCATCTAAAAAGTATCCGCGATGTGGTGTTGACCATCAACACCATCTAGTGACAAAAAACCGCGGATACTTTTTAGATGACCCAATATTTCTTTATTCATTAGCAAAAAATTGAATCAAAAGTCTCCAAATTCTAAACCTTTAATGTCTAAACTCCTGAACCATAAACGCTTAAACCACCAACCCTTAAACTCTAAAATCTTTAAGTTTGAAAAAAATGTTTAAAGAGTGATCATTCTGTCGTAAAAACATTGCCCGCAGTGCAGCTCAATTTTCTGCCAATGAATAAGAAATATCCTCATTTCTTGATTGCAATATATTTATCTATATCATTTAATAAGATTGGAAATAAGACCGTTTATGTTAAACATTACTTTAAATACAAAGCGCCTACTACGAGATATTATGGTCTGAATTAATTAAGTTAAGATGTTGAATTATTTTATATTCATTTAAATAAATTAATTTCAGAAATGATAAAAAAAAAGTTTGTATGGATATACCCTTATTCTTGAAGAGAAATTCAGAAAATTCCTTGATTCGATAATAAAGAGCTCCGCACAATAAAAGAAACAGGAAACAGAGAATATGAATTTCAACCTATCAGAAATCATGTATTGTGGAATACACAGTTTTTGATAGGTTGAAATTCTTATTCTCTGTTCTCTTTTCCCTATTCCTTTTATTGTGCGGAGCCTCTTAAGGTAAAATCACACGGTGCGGAAAACGACTGCGGAATAGAGAATGCGTCATAGAAGCAACCGAATCAGTGTTCTTCTGCATTATTCCGAATAGCGCTAATTGATTGTTTCCGCAGCTCTTTTCCGCACCGTGTGATTTCACCCTTACTAGTTAGTACATGTATCAAGTGCATGATGTAAACTAAGCAAATGTTAAACAAGGATAAGATGATCTGAGATACCCGAATGATGTTTCCGAAATTTTACATGAGATGACGCACTTCTGACGTAAAATACATTTTGGCGCATCTCATTGAAGTTCCACTGAACGAACAAGAAGCAGCAAATAATTCGAAGCCGAGAAAGTCTGCAATATTTGAAAAAAATGTGAAAATTGAATACATTTATAATAAGTACATATAATGAGTACATTTTTATTAAGATTTGAAGTGATGGAGATATTCTAAATAATTACCTGAACTGATAGTTGTCTAAATTGTAACTGCATTAAGGCCGGAATCAGACTATGCATTGAAGATTGAGATTAAAGATTAAAGATTGAAATTTCACCAATGAGGACAAAGAAGTTTTTGTTCTGATTGGTCAAACTTCAATTTTTCAATCTTCAATTTCATTTTTCAATGCATAGTCTGATTCCAGCCTAACAATTGTCATATAATCACAAGTTTTTTAAGTTTTTCATATTAACTTTTGAGCTGAGCAAATAAAAGACACATATTTGAGGTTAAACTTTGATACATATATGTTGCCGTTTTCCTTTTCATGTACAGCAAATTCAACGGAAGCAATTATGAAAAATTGGCATCACATGACATTTTTTGCTGCCACAGCGTGCTGTACATGAAAAGATATCTTAATAGTGTCTCTTCGAATCCAGCCTTGATTTGTTCGTGCTGCTTGAAATCCTCCAAAAATAGGGTCAGAAATCCAGGAAATGAACTAGAAGAAGAAGAAGAAATCCCCCAAAATGTTTGAACCTAAAATAAGATAGATATATATTTGGACGTTAAAAAGAGAGAAAGCGAAGATGCTGAGAGCAAAAGTTCAAGCAACGCAGAGACAATCTTCTCATTTTTTATTGAAAGATCGGATATGTAATTGATTGTGTCACTGCATGTGTATATGTGTATAAGTGCATTTGCACTTTGTACTTTGCACTTTTTAGACTTTATTTTAGCTTCGTACTTTATTGTATTTTATTTCTCTTTATTGTATTTTATCGAATGTTTGGGACATGGCAATAAATATCGTCAAGAATAATTTGGGATCATTAGGAAAATGTAAGTTATATAGATAATTAATATCCTTTCCTAATTAGAACAAGTCACAACAATAACAAAATTACGTTAAAATGAATCATAAATGTTTGAAAAATCACATTTAGTGATCATTTTAAAGTCATTTTAATGTCATAATTCATATTTCTGCTTAGGTAATAGTTTTTTTCAAAACTATTTAACATACTGTTTTAAAAGCCCTCAATAATATGTATATCTTTAATTAATTATGTGTAATAATAACAAATGTTTCTTTTTTGTTTTTTTAAATTAAACAGTTTTTAAAACAAGTTTTTTTCTCTATTATATAAATTACAGAAATCTAGCTATTGTGCGATAATTTTGTCTTTATTATTGACATCTTGCAGATTTACAAGCTGCTTCTGCACTGAGATATTGTACGGAGATGTCACCGACATATAAAACATTAGTAGTAACTATTCCAAAACCATTTGTTTATATGGTCAAGTTGAACAGGCCAGAGAAACTGAATGCAATGAATCCAACAATGTGGAAGTAGGTGATCTCTCCTATTATTTCATAATTAAACTGTAAAAAAATTCTTATATTCTCATGAATTATTTTCATTTAGAGAATTTAAGGAATGTTTTGAGGGATTATCAATGAATCCAGATTGTAGAGTAGTTATTCTATCAGCTGCTGGCAAGACATTTTGTGCAGGTAAATTATAAAATAGTTATAAGGAGTATTACATTCATCTAAACCCTGAAAAAAAGTTTATTTCATAATATGACAACCTGATATTGCAGGAATTGACTTGCAAGGAATGATGGACATGGGTCAAAGCTTAGCAGAACATGAGGATATTGCACGCAGATCTAAATTAATAGAGTCTAAAATTAAGGATTATCAAGATTCATTTACTGCTATAGAAAAGGTAATTTGTTATTCATAAAGATAATTAATGTAATTCATAAATTTAAATATATTAAGTAAAATTAGTGTATTTTATATATTCTAGTTTTTTTTTCGCTCAGAGAATGTTTCATTATATCTCTTTAACTTATATGATCAAAGTAATGACACAATAATTTTAACAGTGTTCGAAACCTGTGATAGCTGTTATACACGGTGCTTGTATTGGTGCTGGCATGGACATGATATCTGCAGCTGATATACGTTATGCTTCTTCTAATGCATATTTTCAAATAAAGGAACTTGATATAGGTATGGCAGCTGATGTAGGTACACTTCAGAGATTTCCAAAAATTGTGGGATCTGACAGTTTGGTAAGAGAGCTTGTCTATACAGCACGAAAGTATCCAGCTGCTGAAGCACTAGAAAGTGGATTCATAAGTCGCATGTTGGATAACGAGGAGAGGTAAAATAATAAATACATTGAAATAAGAAGTTAAATACAAGAAATATAAGTTTGTGATGATTATTCAAATAAAGCAATGTGAATTTTAACGACGTTATTTATTTATATTCTCTATTCAGCTTATTGAATAAATCAATAGAAGTTGCTGAAGATATTGCAAGCAAGAGTCCAGTCGCGGTGCAAGGTTCAAAAATGAGTTTGGTATATTCTAGAGACCATTCTGTCCAAGAGGGATTAGATCATATTGTGAGTGCTTTTTTATTATTCCATCTGAAATGCAATAAAAAATTTATTTGTTTGCTATAAATATAAACACATGAGATATTTTCTTATACTTGAAAAGTTGTTTTAATAACATATTTTTGGAATTTATTTCAATAGGCGATGCATAATAAAGCAATGCTTCAAAGTGAAGATTTTTTGAATGCAGCTATGGCACAGGCTGTTAAAGGTGATCCTCCAATATTTTCAAAGTTATAAATTGTTTCATTCTTGAACTTAATGTTCTTGATACTTCCAGTGTGTGTCACATCGATATTATTTATATCAATGTTATATTAATATTAGATATAAAAATGATATATGTATTTTTTAAAAATGTATTTATATTACAAAATATAGAATAACTTTATGTAACTTTTCTAATCACAGATTTTAACATTTTTTATATTGATATCCCTCTGAAGATTACTTCCACTAAAATAATATATATATTTTTGTCAGGTAGTATCTAGAAAGGAAACGCTTTCCCATTTGCGCTTTACAGGTAGCTCTGCCAATTTCGCAGCTTCCATTTCATCAACAATATTATATACATTAATGTCTTTGGGAATTTTTACCTATAATTTATATATTTTGGATGAAAATCTCAAATGATAGATTCAATAACACGACAAATCTTTCAAATAAAGTGTATACTCCTGTTGAAAGGAATCTTAGCAATATTAGAAATAAATTTATATTTTTACGCACGATTAGCAAATTAATGTAATGTTCATAATTAATTTTTCCAGTTTCCGCGTCACAAGCTACGGCCATCATATCAGCCACTTCTTCTTTTGTAAATGGCTCTCCAATTTCCATAATTGATTTCTCTAAATCATCTTTCATGATATATCCACGATTTTCAGGATCTAATAATTGGAATGCTTTCAATAATTCTTCTGGATCTGCTGGTTTGAACCTAGGTACCGAGCAAGTATAACTCATTATGTTATCTATTTTTCGATCATACATAGATTACTTATTTTGATGCAAAAGATTTTATTTAACTGTACTTGCGTTCATTGATTGCCTTGCTCATGTATTCTATAAATCTATTTATTGGCACGCAATTATTCTCGACATCTTCAACTTCTACTTGAATTTCTTGTAACTCAGCTTCTGTGATAACACATCCTGTTAAATAAATAATAAAAGAATTTGAATTGTATATATTTTACAAAAGAAATGTATAAAATTATTAGAATTTTTATATCGTGAACATTACCTAATGATCTAATTATAGTTCCCAAATCTCTAACATCTACCTCTCCAGTCCTAGCATTATCAAACACATCAAACGCTTCGTAAAGTCTTTTTTCTAATAATGATGGTTCGATAACCACTAAGATATAATAATATAAAAATTGTTAAATATTGATTATTAAATTGATACAAAAATTAATATTGAGATATACTTACTGTTATTTTAGAAAATCTAATTTCGAAATTTTTTAAAAAGAAATAGAGAATAGAGAACAATTTTCAAGGAACTCAATATGATTAGCTTTCAAGAATTGTTTGATCAATAAGTAATATGAAACTATATAATGGGAATCTTAGTCTATAATAAAGCTTTTTCACATAATTATTTCACATGAGTTACATATATGTTTAAAAAAATTGAGAAATTTTATTTTACATTTGTACATTAATTACAAAATCTTTGACTAGTACGTACATTTTTGAGCTCGAAAAGTTAACCGTCTTTCGAGGGCACTCTTTCTGGGCGATAACGTCACGGATAACGTAGATCGTTGAGTCATTTGGGAAAATATGTCCTCACCAGTAATGCAAATAATATTTCTATTGCTTACTTAATTTTGCGTAAATAAATTTGTTATAGTCTATAAGGCAAAAAATCATGAAGAATATTATCAGTTTTTATAAAATATAATAAAAATTTGATAAATTGTACCTGTATTATTTAATAAATTATGCGTATATTATTATTTGATATTAAATTGCAATAATTTAGATGTAATCAATAATATAATGAATACAATCAATAATAACATGATACATGAATTAAACAATTGCAGGATATGTTGTGATAATTTCAGGATGTACATACATATTTTAGAGGCCGCATTTCAATATACGATACTCAAAATCTATAGTCACATTACGCTATACTATAGATTTTTGATACTGGTAATATATATTGAAATATGGTCATGGTTAAAAGATATCTTATGCTATTTAATGTAAAAATACAAAATATAAAAACAATAGATTGGCTAATAAACATAAATATAATACAATTGCAATTAAAAGTGAGCCGTTTGTCGATCGATTTCGATAATATCTTCAATAATCTCTTGAACTCGCGTTCCAATTTTCTTTGCTAAATCTGCTTTCTCATTGTTAGGTAAAAAAAGATAACGCCAAACTAAATCACCATCAATAATACCTCTTGCTGGATTTCCTTGATTTCGTACATAACTTTTATATGTGCTAAATAAAAGAAAAGATAATAATATTCTCAATTATTAATTAAATTAGCAAGTGAAATAATTAGCAAATATATCTATATATAATTATAATGAAAACTTGCCGATAAGCTTTTGGATTTAAACCTGCAATATGACAGATATGCGTAACCAATACATTTTGTAACATAAGTAATCTCCGATATGTTTTTTCTGGAACTGGCAGAATGTAACCAAGGCTGCCATCCAAAGATGCTAAAATATAAAAAGAGATTCGCATAAAAATATTTAAATATTAAAAATATTCCATTATCGCTATTTTTAAAATATATATTTGGACTTACCATACATAGTAACATGTCTTTTATCAGCGCCAGAAAACTGTTTTTTATCATTTGCCGGATCAGTGATTCGACATTTAATACGAAAGAAAGTGTTTATTTTTTGTCCTAAATGAAAATCCGCCTTTCTAATTAACTTTTGACCTCCCAGACTTTCTCTGGACTCCGGTTGATACATAAATAAAGCTAAATTACTCTCTCCATCAGCTACGATAAAACCTAAATTTGAATTATCAATTAAATACTCTATTGTATATACTTCCGCAGGTCTAAAATCCTATAATAGAATAAATTATATATTTTAAATGCAAAATTTTTCAAAGTGTGATGCATGTAAATTTAAAATTAGTAAATAATATATTAGTAAATAATAATAATACTCACTCTGCTGACAAGAGAAAGTGTTCTATATTCTTCCTGAAATCTCAGCAAACTAATGGATTTATAGACGTCAGCTATCAAAATTAGACTTTTTATACTAAGCATTTGATGAATATAGATCTGAGTATCGATAAAAGCAACCCCAACAAGATCATTATCTTTTAATTGCCAAATATAAATCTGTAATAAAACAATTTTTAATGCTATTTATAATAGATATAATTCTTATACAAATAAATTTAACAGGAATATAATACTTTTTGTCCAACAGCTGATACCAAAAATCCTGATACTTGTGTTATAGCAGTTATAGGTCCCTTTTGTTCCTTTGCATAAATCTGTTTAAATCTATTTTTGGTTAATGGCTGGCCAGGCTCAGGTACTACTTCAATTATATCAAATATAAGTATCTGAAAATTTAAAAAATAAGATCACATTAAAAATTGATAAAGCTTAAAGATATTTTCAATATAAATATATAACTTACTCGTCCTCTGCTTGTGATATCCTCGCCGTAATTATAATTTGTTCCTAATACTATGTAACCTTTCAAACCAGATCTCGTTCCTTCATAAGCCAAAGATACATTCTTTAAGCAAGTGACATGTTCCCATTGGTCCAACTCAATTTTTGTATTAGGAATAGTTTCCCATGAAACTGGAGAAAATAATAAATTCCTAATTAATAAAAAAATATATTTATTAAATTATATTAATTTTTAATATCGCCTGATATTTAATAAATAGATATTAATAAATATTCTGGAAAATTGAAATAAATAATATAATTTTGTCAGTACTTTGTCTTCGCCGTTAAATCTATAGTAACTTTTCAGAGGTTCAGCTGTGCTTGTTATAACACAATAAGTCTTGCTTTCGAGATGATACGTAACAAAATGAGGAGTACATCGCAAAGGGACTTTCCTAACTGGCCATGGAGCATCGTACGACAAATGAGTTGGTAAAACACATATCCTTAACTCTTCCTAGAAAATAACATCTGTGTGTCATCTATTTCCTTCCAATGTCTTATTATCTTATTATAAAATATACTGTGAAAATACCTTTCTATTAAAATACAGAAAACCTTGAGGGCAATTAATATTATTAAAAGGCGCAAAAGATGTAACAGGACCATCAATGCCCATTGGATGTGTGCGTAATTCACCGCGTCCAGTCAAAAATATCCAATGTGGATAATCGCTGCAGATAAATACTCCATTATATCCAGCAATGTTGCTGAAGTAACGCATGACACAGATGCGAGTAATGTTCCTGTTCCTTGGAACATCTTCTTCTTTGGGTCTTGGACTGCAAAGGAAATTCATTAAAAGCAATAATCTAAGTAAAGAAGCTTCATTATATGCTTCATTTTGGTGCAAATAACTATTATTTTAATACATTAATTGATATATATAGTATAATTATATATATTCTCTTTCTAAATATTAAAATTATATTATTTTATATATTAAAAAGTAATATCATATATTAGGTGTTGGAATTAATTCGTAGCGTTTTACAAGTGATGGGAAGTACTTTCATTAATGTATTTTTTAATGCTCATGTGAAATAAATAACATTCTTTCATTAAAAAACGCTACGAATTAATTCCAACACCTAATATATTAGAATTACTCAAACCTTAAACGTCCTGGGATAATTCCATGGTCCAATTTCTTAAATCTCAATTTTAGATATCCTTTTGGGTATCTGTAAGCTTGATAGATTTGCAAATCCGAATCAAGACGTACCAAGAGCATTGGCCGATTTCCATGATGTCCTAGAGCAACCATCAGAATTTCACGGACCTACAAAAATAGGTATTATTAAGTACACAAGTTTTTTAAGATTTCTACAAAGACACATTTATAAATAAATTACCTGCATATCAGGATGAGGGATCTCATTAATCGGAGTTGATTGTAAAGTTGTAGATTCCATACTGTCGTGTAATACGTACTGGCCATAGCCAAAATTGCGAATAAGGTAAGATAATCGTAAATCAGGTAAAGAATAAATTTCCAGCGTTCCGCTGTCTCTATATACAAGTAGCCAGTATGTAGACTTAATTTCTTGCAAATGCCTTTGCCACCTGTTATATGAAAATCCATATTATAAAAATGTATCAATACATGGTTCTTTAATATCAGAGGGTGTAGAATGTGCTTAAAAAATAGTTAGTAAAATAAATTTTACTTTTTTCAATATTCTAATTTAATAAAAAAAAAGTTAATAAAATATAAAGTTGATCAAACATTTTAGAAACACACTGTATAACGAATGGAATTTTACCAAGGCGGTTTTTTAGTAGTGCCATCCGATGCTTTTAGATATGATGGTGCAGGCATTTGAAATGCTGGAGCATCGCCGTACAATAGATCATCTTCATTGTCAATATTGTTAAGTACAGACGGTTCCTCTATATTGTATTCTTCTTCAGTATGTTCATCATCTGCGTTCTCAAATAATTGCGTTGTAAAAATCCCGCTTACATCTCTATAAGCGCATAACGCTTCTATCTGAGGGCGCTAAACATATATATATTATACAGACATTAAAAATATTTCATGAAACATTTATGTAATATTAATTATAAAATTAAGAAACTTACAAATAGTAGATTGGCAGTCTGAGCATGCAATCTTGCTGTACCTCTTACTTCTCTAAGTGTCAATAACATTACTTGTCCATCTTCCGACAATAATGCTACATATGGATCAGCACAACTTGCATGTACAATTGGACATCCAAGATCTATGGGCATATGCTGAATCTGTAATTAATAAAATCAAAAAGAAAATATAAGTATTATAAAAATACAAATGTTATCATATTTAGCGATTAAATTAATGAAGAAATGCACACAAAAATTAATATGAAAATATTATTTACTTTGCTTCCACGTTTAAAAAATTTATATTGAATGAGATATATTTCGAATATGAAATATTCACATTCATATTCAACAAAATATATTGCGTAAACTAAGGATTGTTAGTGATATTGAATATTTTATTAGATACAATTTGTTCATAATGATAATAATAAGGATTAATATACATACTTGTTCGATGCCTTGTAAAAGACGCACTCCCATTTGAGTAACTTGTACAATGTACCGATTAGCACCAAGATTACCGGCAAATACTGTACTCCCTTGTGTACTGAATCCACTCTGATCTACCTCATTAATCTCTTGACCAGTTTGCAGAACCTATAAATAAATTGTATTATAAATTAAGGCTTAATTATAATTTATAGAGGATATATAAAGCGATATTTAAATATTATGTTGAAAGTATACCATAGTTGAATCTTCTTGACTTAATATTAAGAAAGCGTGAGATCCTTCTTCTGTTCTGATTTCATCATTGTTTACGATGCCAATGACAGTCCACATATCTTCACAGCCTGGCAATTGAAATGTTGTCACAACCTATTTTTATTAAAAAGATTATCAAAATATAATTATACTTTTGTTAATGTGACGCTTTGTGATTCGTAAGTTCAATTTTAATAATAAATAATTTTTAATTCTTTTTCAGATCAATCTACAATTAATTGTCTTTTTCTAAAAATATACATAAATATAAATTCTATTAATTAATAAATGTTTTTATTCTGGTTAAAGTAACATTATTAGCTATAATTAGACTAAATAAATATCCAATTTAAAAGAAATTTAAAAGAATGTATGATATAAATTTAATTTTATCGACAATCAATATATTAAAATTTAAAATATGTGAATTGTGTGCAAGATATACCGCAACTCACCGGCTCGCGTAAAGGAGTCTTGGTTAGTTTGATTTGTTATGCGGATACATAAATATGTTATTAGAAGATGCGCAGGTGTGTGTATGTGTATGTGTGTGTGTGTGTTTGTGTATACACATATCTATCATATAATTCGACTTCCGACACTGCATATTCTTATACGAACAGAGTTATGAGCATCCGAGATCAAATCTCATATCATTTACCTGAGGACGTATAGAACGTTGTAGTACACAAAGTGCACCGTTCTTTCCATATCCAGATGTCGTCACAAGTTCTACATCAGGGTCTTGATTTTGTAGAAATTCTTCCGACAGGAAAGCTGGTTCTCCCATTGAAATATTTCCACAAGGTCCAATATTCAATAAGCTGTCACATACCTATAAGTAAAAAATTAATTGTAAAAAGAACAGATAAACTATTATTGAAATTAATATAAAACTTGCTGATACCTCAAAAATATATGAAGTGATCTGAATGGATGTATGAGTTTCACTGCCATATACTTCTAGCTCTTCTGGATCTTTGATATCTAATACATCTGATGCCATCCAATCACCAAGAAAATCTTGCTTCGTTTTCTTGGCTGGAGTTTCTTCGTTCTCATTTTCTTCAATGGTAATCTCATTGTCATTCAAATTTTTCAAAGTTTCCGGCTCCTTCTCCGTGAATCGTAAAAGTAACGAATTACCAAGTCGAGAACCAAGGAAAAGATAATTATCCTCACACATACATACCTAAAACGTAACAAGTAACAAAATATAACAAGTACATAACATAAGCATACATATTGATAAAAAGATAAATATTTCATACACACACACGCGCGCGCGCGTGTATATGTATGTATACATACAGCAATTAAAAAATCAAGTATAAATACTTACACATGATGTTAACACACTAGCAGCAGCCTTATCAAAGTGAAATCCACGTACAGATCGCATACTATCGGCAAAGAGGGACAAAACGTAGAGTTCGCCACTTTTCAAAGAAATAACTAAACGATCTGCAGATATAAATGCTACCTGTGATCCTTCTAAACTCATCTTTACTCCTTCCTGTGGTTCTGCAAAAATAACAAGATGTATTTAATTAATACATAAATATCATAAATCCATATTACCAGAAATACTAAAAATTCCACTTACTTAATGGAAAATTTGTACTTGAATCTGCTAAACTGTTAAGTGATACTCCATAAGGTGGTATACTTTGATTCAAATAAATAAGCGAATTAACTGCCATTATTAGGGTACCACCTAGGGGTTTTTTTACAGGTACAGCTTGATAACAATCAAATGGTAAATTGGAGACAGACCAAATAATAGGATGAACCCTTTGCTGTATATTCAAAGATATGGCAACCATTGCACAAGTATCTTGTCTTACCGCAATACGACTGTATAAATCAAAATAGTCCATGAGATGGACATATAATCTCTCTTACTTATTTTATAAAAATATATCCTTACCCTGAAAATGTTCTTACTGGCTCGTATAAAATTAATAATGTAGGTTCGTAATATCCATGTAGGAATTGTAAGTCTATCACATTATCCATCTTTTCCTCCAGTGTTTTCAATACTATCATGTATGAGGATAGTATTGGAGTCTTATTAGTAGATGTTAATTTCGCACTGTCAAGTAAATCACCATCATCAAGGCTAGGATCTTTACGAAAAGGTAGTACAACTAATTTTCTACCAAATATCAGCATTACTGCACATCTTCCCTCGGGATCCACTCTTACTATTGGTATATGATGATGATTTGTCCATCCATCCTAATAAAATAAAATATAATTTGAAAGTTTGAGATATTTGCAATAATAAGAATAAAATTTGAGGTGGTTAATACAACTCAATGTTAGAACTTATCAAACAAAAAATTCTGGTTTAATTCCTAAAATTATCATCACATATACAATACTAAAAATTTTAATTGGGAAATATTATGTTTAAAACAAAATATCCAAAACATGAATTTAATTTTAATGTGACTAAGATTAAACATTATAATATTTTGAGATATTTAGTTTAATGTTTATATTATTGTATGTATTATTTTTTGAAGAACAGAGAAAACTAAATGTGATAGCTCTAAAAACAAAGCTTGATTTTTAGAATAAAATTAAAAGCTCTTATAACTCTTTTCCATAAAAATTGGAACCTTTATTTCTTCTTCTTCAAAGTAATGCAATGACACAGTTCTTAGATCATGAATATCCTGATCATATTCAACAACAGATAGCTTTGCGTCACGAAAGCTAAGCAGCAAAGAATCTCTTTGTGATCCAATGAGATGAACGGCCTGCATGGACATGATATTTCCATGTAAAGTGTATTGTGTCAAGCACTCCAGCTTCATTTTAGGGGGACGTGTTTCTGCAAAAAGAGAATATATGTATATATTCTTCTATTTTATATATTCATATATCAGTAGTATTTTAAGAGAAAATTAAAATAAAAAAGTACCTGTATATTTTTCCCTTCTTGTCATGTCCACATCAGGAATCAGACGAAACACTCGTATAACATTCGCGCCGGCAACAACGAGACATTTCTCGTTACGGTTGAAAAAGTGGCATGTGATCGCGTGCTCGACTCCAGTTGCAGGATGAGTACTTTTACATATAGAATACATGACTGGGCGTCACCTAACGATGCAAATTGTCACGGATATATTTTAGAGAAATGTTTATTTCATAGATTATCAAAATCGTGAAAATTAGCATACACGATATAACATGACGCGTTGTCGCGAATCTCTAGAAAGGTTAGGTAATAGTTTAAAAATGAGAAATCTGTTCTTTATTCTTGTCCTGTCTGAACTGGTACACATGGTGCAATAAAGGTGCAATTTTAGGAGCCGCTAATGGCTCCTGTACACTGGACGCGGAAACGCTTGCCGCGCGGCAAATAATGTAATGCGGTAGCAATAAGCGTTTCCGCGTCCAGTGTGCAGGAACCATAAAGATGAAATCATACAATAGGTGTATTCAAAATGACAATCGCTCACTGAACGCTCAGTGAGCTCTTTTATCTGATTGGTTTATATTTTAGGATCTCATGAAATATGTCAATCAGATGAAAGAGCTCATTGAGCGCTCAGTGAGCGGTTGTCATTCTGAATGCACCCAATGCGGAAAAGTGCTACGGAAGAATGCGTCAGTGGCTTAGTTTTCACCGAAGATTTAATCCGGATCAGAATGTCGTTCGACTGTAACAGGAGAATACTCGAGTATAGTCGGTTGGTTCTTACATTCTGAGCCGGATTAAACATTCGGTGAAAACTAGGCTCTGTTTATGAATGTCGTGTCAGGGGAAAAGGCTGCCAACTATGAAACGCTAAACATAAGGCAATATTCATAGTCCGTTTTTATTTTAAAACTATCTTAAATAATATCTTAAGATGCTAATACAGTCCTTAGATTAACTTATGATATGTTAAAATTATATTCAAAAAGTAAAAAGAAATAGGAGAATGTATCAATAGCCTAGTTTCTACCGAGGGTTTAATCCGGATCAGAATGTAAGAACCAACTAACTACAGTCGAGTATTCCCCTATTACAATCGAATGACAGGGCAATGCTCAACTGTAGTTGGTTGGTTCTTACATTCAAGATACTGATTATGTAAATATTCACGAAACTTTCATTTTTTCACTTTTCGTACATACCAATCTCACATGAAAAGTTTCACTTTCAAACCATATCAGACTTATAGCGTTTTTGGCCCAACCGAGTTTACACCTGGGTTGAAGTTGATGTTTCGTGCTCTCCTATTGGTAGAGCGTGTAATGTCAATAGCGAAGTATTTTCTAACTCAAATTGGTGTAAACCCGGTTGGGCCGAAAATGCTATTAGTGATTATATAAAAAAATTATGAGAAAGTGAGATCAGATAAGGAAGTTATGAGAAAATGAGATCATAAGGCAAATTTACATCGTTTCTCTTACAAAAATTTGACAACGGGTGTATGTACATACAAGTGTGTGTATGTATGTGTGTGCGTGCGCGCGTGCGCGTGCGTGCGTGTGTGTGTGTGTGTGTGTGTGTGTGTGTGTGTGTGTGTGTGTGTGTGTACGTATTTTAATAGGAAATCACATTGTGCTTATTATTTGTTGTTCCTTATATATATATATAATCGAGAATAATAATGAATCCCAGCAAACGAGAATGGATTGAAATAAATTAAAAAGGATATTCAGAAATATTCACAAATGTTAAAATGAAAGCTTTTTAATCCTGAACGCATTTTTATTCATTTATAGGAATTGCATGGAGCATATCTCTATGTCTTTCAATCTAAAAATATTAGGTGTTGGAATTAATTCGTAGCGTTTTACAAGTGATGGGAAGTACTTTCATTAATGTATTTTTTAATGCTCATGTGAAATAAATAACATTCTTTCATTAAAAACGCTACGAATTAATTCCAACACCTAATAATATTAGTTTTTTTTGTGCACACAACAAACATGATATTATTTCAATTCAAAATTTTGAATAGAAAATATAGTTTTTCAATCCAATTGCATCCAATTGAATCTAATTGAATCCAATTGAATTCAATTAAATCCAAAATAAAGTATTTGCTATTTTTTTAAAATATGCATTCAGATAGAAAAAAATTTCAATCTATTCTCGTTTGCTGGGATGTAGCTCAAAAACAAAAGGAAATGCTGTTAGACGTAATGTCAAAAAATTTGGATATTGTGCGGGGAAGAGTGTTGTAAAATTCTCAGAGCCGTATGGAACTAATAAAAACATGTTATTTTATTGTTCTTATTTTTGATTATATGTAATAAAAAAACAATATGTATTTAAAATTCATAGAAAAAGATATAGGAGAACATAGCACAAACCCTAAATTGTTCTGGAATGGGGCCGGAGAAATCTTCATCTAAATGGAAAAAGATTATATTTTAACCTATTTCATAAATCTCTATTTTTTATTATAATTCTCATTTTTAAATTTTCATGTGATTTTTATGCACTTCATATTTTTATCTTTTACTCATATATTTAATTTAACATCATGATACCATGTTTCCTCAAAATTCTGTTCAGATTTCTATATGTAAAAATAAATAAAATGCCGCCTAGTTTTTATTATAAAATTTATTATTAAAAGTGTCCTAAAAGGCACAAAGTGATGCTGAAGGATTAATTTTTATAAATGACAAATACTTATAAATGTAATATAAAATGTAATGTGCTGTTATATAATTATTGTTTAATAATTATTGTTTTTGTGCGTAAGCTATTAATAATTTGTGCACATCTAACATTGGATCTTTCATATTACAATTTTTATTACCGTACAATTTAATTTTGTAATTTTTATATTCACGTCGAAATTTAACTTCGAATTCTTCCTGTAGTTCAAGCGGTATTACATCCAAAAAAGTACAAACGGACATACATGAAGCTAAAAAATTAATAAGTATTAATATATTATTGTTAACAATAAACTGTAATAAATATTACTATAAAATATTGTAAAATAATATAAAAAATTAAAATAAATAAAATATATACAGGGTGTTTAAAAATTAGTGATAAGTCTTTCGCATAGGGGTAGAATGAACTAAACTGAGAAAAAAAGTTCTCTATCATTTTACAATTGGCACAACGTGATAGTTAACGAATTATTAGCTTATGAAAAAAGTCAAATTCGCCCAGCCCACCGCCAAATGCAAGTGCGCGACAAGATAGTACTCGCCCCGTGCGAAGTGCACGCATCGCTAGGCACGTTATTTATAAGCAGCAATTGCCATCGCTAGACATAATTTTTCTTACTTTTTTCTTATTAATCTTTTTAATTACACTTATTATTTTAACTAACTCTTCTAATATTAGATCTCTAATTATTTTATTAGAATTTATTACACTTCAGCATTTACATAGCCAAGAAGGGGACTTGGTTTATATAAATTCGTTATCCACATTCATCCTTCCACACTGCTAGTACTTAACTCTACAAACAAAAAAAAAGATTTTCTTAATATTCTTATTCTCATTTCTTTGAATATCACACTATATGTTCCTCTATCTAATGTATTTATTACTACATATCACCTGACCATTGCACATATTATACTACATAATACAATACAATAGTGTGACTTATAGTTACAACTATACATAGATATGTCGCAGTACAATATATGTACATGTACATTCCTAATATTATATCACAGCATTTCTAATCGTGTCTCCCGCACTTCTAGACGCAAACTTATTCTCCTGCCTAAATATATTATTATTTCATGTAATGGAGTAATGTATATTACTCTTGTTGTCTTTTCCTCCGTTTTCTTTTTCCCACTCAACACTACTTTATTTACCTATTCTTATATTAAAATTTCCACCTATTATTATTTCTTCATTTTCCTCATTGTCCCCTAGAATTCTTTTTAACTTTTCTTCTAAATTTTTCCAGCTCCCCCTATTGTATACCAATATTATTACAATCTTCTTCTTCCCTATAGCTATTGACATTCACTCCTTTCTTATTTTTATACATCAAATTCGATTCCTGCCCAGTTTTTCTTTACGCCTACTATAAATTCCTATAGCCCTGCTTCTTTTCTTTTCTCTATGTGCATATACATTCCCATTTATGCGAACTAAGTAATCTTTCCTCAACTTTTTTCCACTCATTTTCTTCCAGCCATGTTTCATATAAGCTTACGAAATCAAATTTGTCTACATAATTCCAAAAATCTTTATCCTTATTAAATCTTTATCCTTATTACTTCTTTATCCTTATTACACCTGCAATGTTTCAAAACATAATATTTCCTCCCCTTTTATTTGCTTTCGAATTCTTTTTTTCCATATATCTTTCTTAATCTCTTCTCCTTCCGCCTTCCCCTAAGTTTTCCACACTTCCTTCTTGGCTTAACATAAATTTTGTTCCTCTACTATTGTTTCCCTTAACTTATCCCTTTTTTCCTCTCTCTATCCTCATATTTTTTATTGTTTTTTTTTCTTTTTCTTTTCCTTCCCTCTCTCTATTTCTGCCCAAGTTTTCCCAAATCCTCCTTATCTTCACTCTCCCATATCTTATTTTTATATTCCCGCTTGTTTTCCTGTGCTTTCACCCATTTATTTATCCAAGTCTGCGTCTTCCTTTCCTCAAAACTTAAATTATTTTCGAAAAAGATTTTCCCTCTCTTTAATTTATTTTTGTTTCTCATCATCTCCCTCTTCATTTCCTCATTACTTTAATAATCACTACTGGTCCGCTCATCCTCCAGGTGATTATTTCTACATTTATCCTTATTTTCTTCTTTATAAATTTTTGAGCCCATTCCTTTTTCTATATTTTTATCTCCTTCCCAATTAATTCTCTTAATAACAATATTGCATTTTCTTTCCTCTCGTTCTTTATCCGCCACCAATTTTCGCATTGATCCTCTCTCCCACTTAACTTATCCATGCTTCCTTCTGACCACCTTCCACTACATGTATTCCTATTGTAGATACTCCCTTCTTTATTATACACGCTCCTCTCCTCCGCTTCTTCTCCCTCTCATAATTATTTTATTAATATTTTACTCTTTATTAATCTTGACTACAATATTCTGATCAAAAAACTACCTATACTCTCTCTCTATTTTTATATTCCTAACATTAATTAAAAGGTTACTTATTATTTTTTTATATTTTACAAGATTAATTTCTGATATAAAAAAATAATTATTATACTAAACTCATACTCATATTAACATTTTTCATAAATATACTTATAGTAATAATAAAAAACTCTCCTAAATCCCCTCTTTTTTTCACCTCTAAATTTCATCTAGCTTTCATAAACTCCTATAGTGACAGCGGATGCGCGCCTCGCCGCAGTGATGCCAATTTGGCAGTTTTCCAGCTAGATCTACCGTTTTTTAAAGATTCTGTAAAATTTAAAAAATGCGGATAGCGATAATTCTGACAAGATTTAATTTTTTTTTAGCGTTTACTGACGGTTTTTATTTAAAGCTTAGATAGATACTTATTTTTATATGTACTACAACGCGATTTCTAATTTGTATCTTGCAACATGAGGTACGCCATCTTTAGATATGTAATATATCGGACAATAAACAATGGCTATTAGTTACGGCTGTTGTATCCATTTGTGATTCGTGACGGAAAGCGGCGCTTTAAGAAAATCCAAAACATAGAGAATGAACTGCAAGATCCATATGTCAAAAAAAAAAAATCAATAAAAGTAAGAGAGAGGGACCAGTCTCGTGAGCTCACTCGAGCGGGACGGACGTGTGTCTCGCCTTGCTTTGGGTGTTGCATCATCTCATCCATTTTTTGAAAAAGCCGTTTCCGGCTTCGACTGTGCGTTGTAATACACTATTTGTCTTGATTATGTCATTATTTCGTCCCATTCACTTGTTTTCATGATTTATTTGCGATTCTGGCCGGAATTGCCGTCATTTTTACGGCGAGTGCCATTAATTTTGAAAAAGAAGAAGAAGAGAGAGGGGCTGCGGAAGATGGCCATCTCTGTCTCTTTCTATTCAATGGCGTAATGGGAGAGAGAATGAGAGGGAGATTGGCCGTCTTCCATGGTTCCTCTCTCTTATTATTATCGACCACATTTGAATACTACTTAGGGATTACGTAGTACATTCTTTATGTCTTTGAGAAAATCAAGAAAATTTTGAAGTCAGCTATAGACTATAGACTTGAGGCAACAACTTAAACTAAGGGCAGTAGTCGCTATTCTGTTTTTTCTACTATGTTTTAACCTGTATTTTCGTGCTGAAGTTTAAAATGGGAAAAACGAAAGATGTTTATTTCGCTTAGAATGGAAGACGTTCCAAAATTAATCCAAAATTAAAGGATTGAATTCGAGAGGAATTGACGAATAAAACTCAAGCATACATATTGTAAGTGCAATATTCAATGTAAGCTGAATGATTTGCTCTCCCATACTGAAACAAAAAACACAACAACCTGTGGATCACACATGCAAACAAATAAACTTTCGTTCAAACCTTCCTCTAAGATACAAGAGCAAGAAGCTGCTTTAGTATTGTATATATGTTAGTCAAAGATGATAAGAACACGTCATTGATCGAAGACGAATGGATCACTATCGATATTGAATAGAGAGATTTGCTGCGACCTCTTACATGTTTCACATTTATTTTTAGTTTATAAAATAACTTTTAAAAACGTTATATTTTGTTCTTTTATTTATTTGAGAAAAATTTTACAACGGATGAAATGAGTAAATAGAATATGTAAAAACTTAATGTTAACGCAAGTTTAATATATATGTATATTCTAAGTTATCTTGGTAATTATATATGTTACATAAGTAAACAAGTATGTAAAGTATGTAAAGTACGTTCGAAAAATTGATTAAACATTTACGTTTCAGTTATTCAGTCATTTTAATTTATTTACATAATAAAATTTCTTTTGCAATTATATTAATAAATCAATAAGTGATCAGTAGTGCCCAGCGAACGAGAATAGATTGAAATGGATTAAAGTGGATTCAGATTTTCAAAAATACGGATTCATGAATGTTAAAATGAATCCTTTTTAATCCTGAATGCATTTTTATTCATTTATAAGAATGGTATGAAGTATATTTATATGCTCTTCAATCTAAAAATAATACTATAGTATTTTGTGTGTGGTATGTGCATCGTGAATACTGTTTAATTTAAAATTCTGTATAGTAAATACAGTTTTTCAATTTAGTTCTAAAAATAATCTAAAAATAATTTAAAAATAATAATCCAAAAAAAATCTAAAAGTATCAGCCATTTCTGTGCACGATGAATACTGCTAAATTTAAAATTTTGAATAGGAAATGCAGTTTTTTAATCTAGTTGAATATAAAAAAAAGTTTTTCTTTTAAAATAGGCCATGAATATTATTTAATTCAAAATTATGAGTAGAAAATCCATTGTTTCATTTAAAAATGCATTATGAATGCTATTTTATTCAGAAATATGAATAAGAAATTTTTCGTTTTAATTCGACTAAGTTAAAAAAAAATTGTACCGTAAAAATATACCATAAGAATTTTCCTTTATTTAATATTAGGTGTTGGAATTAATTCGTAGCGTTTTTAAATGAAAGAATGTTATTTATTTCACATGAGCATTAAAAAATACATTAATGAAAGTACTTCCCATCACTTGTAAAACGCTACGAATTAATTCCAACACCTAATAGTTAAAAGAAACATAAAAAGAACTATGTAAATATGTACAATAAATGTTACTCTCTCTTATATAAATTCCTTATTTTTAATTAATAAATTAATCGCTTTTATGTATATTAATACGTTTCCTTTATTACATAGCGTATATTTTTTTGTAGGAAAGTTTAGAAATAATAATTATAAAATTTTATATAATTATTACTTTAATTTATTTAAACTTTTACATTTATTATAAAAATATTTATATGGAATCCAATCTATTTTTATGAATATTTAAAATACGGATTCGGATGGATTGAAAATTTCCAATCTATTTAAATCTATTTTCGTTTGCTGGGTGAATATACGCAGGATAAATGAGAGAAAAGTGGAAACTAATGATATATAAAGCATAATTAATTGCACGTCTATTAAGAGAAGGAAGTTTCTCCTCGGTATTTGATAGATGCTCTATCAGTTTGCATCAAACCAGCAGTACAATCATGAAATTTTAATTTCCGGATAAAGGGTAGGAGAGCACCTAATTTTTTAATAAAGTATCTAATTAGTTATATATAAAAAGCTAATTTTTGTGCTAGTATTTTTAATTCCTGATAATTTAATTCCTTGTCTCTCTCTCTCTCTCTCTCTCTCTCTCTCTCTCTCTCTCTCTCTCTCTCTCTCTCTGTGCGTGCGTGCGTGCGCGCGCGTGTGTGTGTGTGTACCACTTTTTTCTGGCACTCATCTTATATAAATGTGTGCGTAAAGGTAATTACAACATATATAAATATCTGACGATTTTTTGGCGGTATTTCAAATAGAATGTAGCGGGTAATTGTTTTCAACAGTTAACATCACTGCCTTACCGCGCTGGGCAGTCCTATCCTGTCGCGCGCTTGCATTTGACGATGGGCTGGGGGTGAATTTGGCTATTTTCATAAGTTAATAACTCATTAACCATTGCGACAATTGTAAAATTAGATAAAGGAAACTCTTCTTTTTAGTTTAGTCCATTTTGTCCCTATGCGAAAAATTTATCATTAATTTCCAAACACCCTGTGTTTTATATATATAACTAAAGTAAACTAACTTAGAAATGTATCTGTATTTATATCGGAAAAATCTATCTCCCAAAGCTTGCAATGTTGAACGTTAAAGCCGACACTTTCAAGTAAGTCTTTCAGATCTTCACTAGGTAGGGCCGAATTATAAAATAATAATTATAAAATAATGGTACGTATTTATTTAGATTCTGTGCAAAAGTAATGATTAATATTTTAACTAAAAAACTGCAAACAAATATAAAATGTATAAATTACTTGTAAGTAAGGCGCAAAACGGGAATTATGCGCAATATTCTTAAGCACTTCAAATATTATATGATGAGATGCTGGAACCAGTACAAGCATACTTCCACCAGATTGAAGCATGCAGTATATATTCTCAAATACTTTCCTGTTATGTAACAAAGGAATGTTATTAATTTATAATACATGTATTACAATATTTTTGAGAAAAAAATATAATGCGGTATTTTATTAACAACTTTTAATAAAATATCGGATTAGAATGAAACATTTTTCATAAAATAAGCATACAACTACATACGCAAGATGTTTTTCGTACAAGTCATATTGATTAGGAAATAGCGCGAGAATTTTCTTAAATTTTATGAAACATTTTTATCTTCAAAATGTATTCATCGCGCGTGCTCGCTTTTATTTTATAATAGTTTAAAAATAATTAGAATACATATCATTAAAAATAATAATTATATGAATACATTTCCCAGTAAATATATATAATATAAATTATATATTTTGACTGTTTTTCTATAAAATTATAATTTTAGAAGATAAATTTACACCTATTTAACAACTTTTTTACCTGATTTCATAGCACCAGTGCAAAGTATAAAATGAAAATATATGATTAAACTTAGAAATATATTTTTCAGGTAAGTTTTTTGTTTGAATGTCCAACATTTCGAATTTGAGACGTGTATTGTGATTGTACATTTTTTTCGCATATTCAATCATGGTCACGAATATCAGTACCTACAGGATCATTAAATTAAGGAATAATTTTTCCACCACATTACGTTGTCATATTTGTAAAATTTGTTACTTCTTACCTATTATTACAGAATTTGAATCAAGAGATGGTAGAAGGATATTATTTGTTATGTCTCCGGGACCACAACCAACATCCATACATATCCCAGATATACTTTTTAAATGTTTGGTAAACTCTTTTATTACTGTCAATACGGCGCGTTTTTGCATCTCATTTGAAGAAATGTACTTTGCTGGATTCACCATGTTTGACTGCTGCACTATTATACGCTGCCCCTTGGTTAAAAAATTCGATAAAAAATGATAAAAATTTATAGAAATCTGATAGAAATCTTATATAATTTTTAGCAAGACCTATCGTACCTATCGGACATTAAAATCACGATAGATAAAAAAGTTATAATATAAATTTCTATTTTTTTACATCTTATATTAAATAAACGATAGAATACTTATCGAAGATCACAAGCTTTTCTATATGATCCTATCACTATTAAATCAGATTAATAAGAAATAAACGAATGAATGGATGTTTATACGAATCTATATAATTTAATCCAAATATGTGTCTTTATGTTTGAATAAGACCGATATTATAGAAAAATTATCGTATTTTATCGTTGACAATATATGACATTTTTCAAATCATTGAAGAATTATTTTGCAAATTTCAACATACATAACAAAGCGATAAAGTTTTATCGTTTTCTTATCTTATTTAAACGATAGAATAATTAACTGTATACACAAACTTCTCTGTCACATTATCTGATTTAATATAAAACAAACGACAGAATGATTTATACGAATCTATATAATTTAATCCGAAAATGTCTCTATATGTATGTTTAAATAAGGTAGATGTTACAGAAAAATTATCCTACCGTTATATAATTAATTACTCATTTAGGTCATTGAATAAATAATTATTTAATAACCTAATAAAATGTCACATTATGTTGTCAACGGTAAGATACGGTAATTTTTCCATGACATCTATCTTATTATAACATATAGGAACCCATCATTTATAAATGATAATAAAGCTATATGATAAAAATGATAGAGAAATGTAGAAAATCTATATCAGGCAAATAATCTAAAATTTAAGATTAAAATTTAAGTTGTACGATAAATGTGATAATAATTATAAGAACCTATGTAACTTAATCCAAAAATGTCTTTATAACTATCATGTTAAAATATCTAAACAAGCGTGCGATTATAGCTCAGCGTTAGAATGTTTGACTATCATCGCGTTTTATAGGTTCGAATTCCGACAATCCCGATATGCGTTTTCAAAAATTACAAATTTCCGAATTACATTTATGAATGTTTCTGAAATGAGCAAATATGTGAAATTAATGATTATTTAATTTAATATTAATAAATGTATATTGTTATGTCAAAATAAATATATATTAAAAGTTATTACATCTTGGACTAAAATTGAAACTAAAACAAAAACTATGTTGCTTCATACAATACATTTAAAATTGCACTGTAACATACAAATGAGAGATCTAAACGAGAAATACGAACTGAACGTGTTATACTTCTAATTTCTTTTCCGGTATAATATACGCGATATTGGGTGTTTTTCAACAATGGAACATCATACACACTGCAATACAATAATACGTAGTGTCAACTCGTGGATGAAACATTTCTTTCTCAAGTAATGTTTTATCCACGAGTATTGCAGTGCGTATGATGGACTCACATGATGCTCGATTTCTCATATAAGCATGCATACTGTATCATATCAATGCTAGAATACATTCACGCATTGAGCATTGCTTGTTAATATTTTATATAGCTGTGTACGACTGTATCGATTTGTATCATCATTGGAAAGCACGGAATCATACACTGTTTATTATATATGGTGAATTCGATCACTTATATTACACTGGATCAGTGCATATCAAAAGCTCTGTTATATAAAATATCTCAATGCAGTGATACAATATAATCAACTTTGACAATAAAATGATACATATATATTTTGTTAAATAACGTAACAATATCATTAGTACATAGTTAATCGGTTAAAATATTTATATATTTTTACATTTAACTTTGCTAATGTCATGTAAGACAGCTTTTAATATGCATTGATTTAGTGTAGTATCGTTTAAGTATTATTCTTGTTGTAATAATGTCAGTTTGTATCCTTCGTAAAAACATAGAAACTTTAACTTTGCTAATGTCATGTAAGATAACTTTTAATATGAATTGATCTAATGTATCATTTAAGTATTATTTACGTTAAAGTATTATTAATAGTATTATTATTTATAGTATCATTACAGTAGTATTATTTCGTTTAAATATTATTATTTTCGCTTAGTATTATTTTTATCATAATAATGTCAATTTGTATTCTCCGTAAAAAAAAAAATTATATTGAATGTCTTCAAAATAAAAAAGTTATACTTTTCTTATACCAAAAATGACGATTGTTTCCATTCATTTTCCACAGAAAATTAATAATAATACAGCATGACAATATTAAGTTTATTAATTAAAAATTGTTGTTTGCGTCACAAAACAGCAACTTTTAATTAATAAACTTAAATTAATAAACTTAACATGCTGTGTTATTATTCGTTTTGTAAATATGGATTTACTTTTTAAGATATCGAAAAGGTTTCAAGACATCTAAAAGACATGTTCAAGACATCTAAAAAGAAATTTTTAAGACATCTTTCTATCTTCAAGATATCTTATATATCTTTAGAAATAAAGAAAGATATCTTAAACTAATGCATAAGACATCTTTTAGGTCCATAAAAAAGATGTCTTTTCGTAAAAAATGCAAGATATCGCAACATGGGTAAATATCTTTTAGAAAAGACGTCTTTTTTACTCGGAAAAATTCATTTTAAATACCTGTAATCAACTCTGCAATTATTTTCTATTAATTAAATTTGCTTTTAACACGGAACAAAAAATTTTTCTACAAAACTAAATGTGTAATTGACTACCAGCAGTCTGTTACTCAGCATTAAATATCCATGCAATATGCAAGTCGTGGGGATAATTTTTGTATTTATGCCGCGGCCTATACAAATTCAAATATCTCATAAATGATGCATTTTAGAAAAAAATGTTTTTTACAAAAGTTTTAAAGCTTAAAAAAACGCATTCAACGATAGTGGTTATTTAACCTAGGATGACGTTGTCAAGGTCAGGTCAAAGTTAACATGAATTTTTTAAATGAAACTCCCCCTTTTTCATTACATATTTTTGTAGCTTATCTTGAGAGCTTTTCAAAATACTATAATTAAGTTCATTTTCATTAAGTTAGCAGACTTGAAAATTACGGCATTAGCATTACGCAAGATGTCCGACTGATGGCTAAAACCTCTTGAATGTTGTTCAGGATCATGTCCTGAATAACATTTGTTAAGATCATTAGAGATTGTTTCTCTTATATTCATTTTTATATAAAAATGAATTTTCAGTGCAAAAATGAAAATAAGAGAAACAATCTCCAGTGACCTTGATCTTAATAAATGTTATTCAAGACATGAACAACATTCAAGAAGTCTTAGCTGTCGATTGTTTCACCAGAAGTCAGGTAAGAATTTGTGTTTCCTGGGATACTCAGCAAACGAGGATAGATTGAAATGGAACTTTTTATCAAACTAAGCAAATAATGACGTCATTAATCTGAGTATGAAATTGTTACGTACAAATCCTTGGAAATTTAGTCAAGGAGACAATGAGGGAGAATGGAAAGGGTATGAAAGGACGGCTAGACTCAATCTCACAGGTATACGCGCAGAGGCGAACACCTGTGAGTTGTATGGATCTTTTCGGAATATGGGTCAACATCCCGAAGAGACGCTATGACCTGTTCCGATGGACAGTGCGAATGTCGGTCCTATTTTTTGGGTCAAGGAACTTAATCTTTTTGACCCGGGACTGGACCTCGTGCGATCTCAGATGTTTAAAGGGAAAAGAATGTGAGAAATGATTCAAATAAATGGCAGCTAGAAAAATATAAATGACTTACATTTATTAAAAAAAAAAGAAAATTAAGTTTATATAAGATATTTATATTAGGTGTTGGAATTAATTCGTAGCGTTTTACAAGTGATGGGAAGTACTTTCATTAATGTATTTTTTAATGCTCATGTGAAATAAATAACATTCTTTCATTAAAAACGCTACGAATTAATTCCAACACCTAATACATATTTTTACATAAAAGAAGGAAAAAACTTATCATTGTATGTGTAATTACAATCGATTTGTTTAATGTGGTTGAGGAAGAATTTAGTTATGGAGATATGTGTGTGTGTGTGTGGGTGTGTGTGTGGGTGTGTGTGGGGGTGTGTGTGTGGGTGCGCGCGGGCGCGTGTGTGTGTGTGTGTGTGTGTGTGTGTGTGTGTGTGTGTCACGAATGATGAGTGATCCCAATGATGATTGCTGCTCCCAATTTATTTTTTTTTTCTTTGCACTTGCGTAAAAAAAATTGGCGTGAACTTTTCACTGACTGACGTGTAACTGTGAACTGAACTAATCTGTACTGACGCTTTGCGAGACCTCTATTTATACTCCGAAAAAAGGGCGTAGTGCCCTTTGTCTAAGATGCAATAGTTAGTTGCAATATCACGCGAGATTTACGATTTTTATAGCGTCCTATCATTGTTAATTTAAAGTGCATCATTAGAGAGGTTTCGAGAAGAAAAGAAATAATTTACGTTTTTCTTTAAAGAGGCAAGATTGCTTCAGACGGATGACGATTTCTGTTATCCTCGCGAAAAATGGCTAAGTAAACAGACGGTTACATGCACGACTTTTGCGTGCAGGGCAACTATTGTCAATCGCGAGTCCGATCTTACAATTAGGTAGCTATCATGGGAAGTTATCCTATGCGTTTATGATTTTTTAAGCGCGCCTGTTTTCTTAAGAAATTGTTGGTCAGTCTGGGACGACAAAACTTGGATTTTTACTATTGTGTGATTCGGTGCATTTATAATGTCTTTTGCAATCTTGTCACTTTTCGGGCCTGCATTAAGGTTGTTATTCCTTCCGAGTTGATTGGCTTTTACGAGTTTTCGGAACTTGTCCGATCCCTCTTTTCAGTTCTGTTAGATCGTTATCAGAAGACTCCGTTCGAGTCTTCTAGATGCCAACCATAGTCGCGATGTGGAGCCGATTCTTTCGAAAAAGGACGTAACAAAATACTCAGCTCACTTCAGACCGAGTTTTACTCGTGTGCAAATGGAAACTCAGACAACACAAAATACGAAAAGATAACGAAAAGAGGTCTTTTTTAAGTTGTCTTTCCGACAAAGCGAAATGTGTCTAAAAGATGACAAAAAGAT